CTTCCTTCCTTCCTTCCTTCCTTCCTTCCTTCCTTTCGTCCATCCTTCAATTTCTTGAAGCCGTTGCTGTCCCTTGTGCTGAAAACTCCATTTTTTAAAAACTAAGGATGAAGGCGGCATTCCTTCAAATTGTTATAAAAGTTTTTTTTTTGGCTGCACACTATGCCTAGAGATACCCCACAACAACTCTCTTCTTCCTCCAGCTTGCAGCAGTCCAGAAAATGAGATTTAGGATTCCTACCTTCCGTGGATCCCTGAGGACACTTGTCGACTTTAGAGTCCGGCGTTGGGGCTGCGGTTTCGTCTCCTCCATTTTCTCCTGGCGAGACAGAAATAGACACAAGCCATAAAAATCAGAAGACGGGCAGCTCAGTGGGAGGATTAAACCAGCTGCAACCAGTTTTCTGACCAGATAATCCAGAAAAGTTACTCAGCGGAAAACTCTCCCTGTTATTTTCTCTCTAAAGATAAAGGTAAAGGTTCCCCTCGGACATATGTGCTAGTCGTTCCCGACTCTAGGGGGCGTTGCTCATCTCCGTTTCAAAGCCGAAGAGCCAGCGCTGTCCGAAGACGTCCCCATGGTCATGTGACCAGCATGACTCAACGCCAAAGGTCCATGGAACATTGTTCCCTTCCCACCAAAGGTGGTCCCTATTTTTCTACTTGCATTTTCTTTTTAATGTGCTTTCGAACTGCTAGGTTGGCAGGAGCTGGGACAAGTCACGGGAGCTCACCCCGTTCCGCGGCACACGGGATTCGAACCGCTGAACTGCCGACCTTTCGATCGACAAGCTAAGCATCTTAGTCACTGAGCCACCACATCGCTAAAGAGTCTCAAATTCAGGTATCGGGGTTGACCCAACACAACATTTGGCCCAGGAATCAAAGATCACCGATTGGATGTTAAAAATGGGGAGAATTTGCTACGGAGTCTTGGCTCCTGGAAGAGTTGTTTTTGGTCTGACCGACATCTGGGAGTCAGAAGACGAGAAGAGGTGAGTCTGATGGTGAGTCTAGAAGGGAAGCTATCACAGATCTCAGACGCCAATCTGTTGAGGACACTTCTATAGGTCCACCTCACACTTTGCTTGTTTGGAGAGTGGCCATTTGACAAAAGGATGTGAACCCCAACAAAAGAAGGTGTCATCTCTGGCCGGTGCTTCCCATCATTCATCTTCAAGGTGGACCATAAGATCTTTGGATATTTCTGGATCCATCTTTACCTCCTTTGAAGCTCTTGGTGGTTTCTTCAATTTTGGAGGGTGGAGTCTTGGGTACCGGAAAAGTGGTTTTGGGTTGGATTGGCGCTTGCGGTGTAGGACCTGAACAGGAGAGGCAAGTCAGAAAATGGGGGGCTTCAGAATGACCTGCTGGAGACATCACCCTTCAACCAACTAAGGACATTTCAATGTTTTGACCAAAGAAATACAACATAAGACCTCCAAGATGTTTCTAGCACCCCAAAAAAATGAGATGTTCCAGCAGTGGATTCCATCAACAAAACTTCCAAAATTTTTGACTGAACATTCCTAGGTGGTTGAATATCTGGATTTCCATCTGTACCTCCCTTGAAGCTCTCTGTTGTCACCTCTACTTGGGGCTGTGGAGTGTTTGATTCTGGGAGAGTTCTTTTTTGGGGGGTTGGACCTGGCCAGAAGAGGTTAGTCAGATATTGAGTCTAGAAAGGAATCTGTTGAGGACACTTCCATAGGTCTACCTCATATTTTGCTTGTTTGGAGAATGCCAATGTCACCAAACACACCTTGGTGGTCAACACCACCGAACATGGTCCTCTCTGGCTGGTGTTTCCCTTCAAGTCATCTTCCAAGGAACCACATCTTTGAACATTTCTCATACCAACTTTACCTCCTTTGAAGCTCTCCGTTGTTTCTTCTGGTTCGTGGTGTGGGGTCTTTGGTGCAGGGAAAGTGGTCTTGGGTCTGATCGGCACCTGGGGGGTAGGGCCTGAAGAGAAGGGGCAAGTCAGAATTTGGGGGCTACAGATACTTCACTTTAATCTCCTGAAGATGCTTCCATCTGCATAACTAGGCCAAACAAATGTGAAAGAAGACACCTAGGAGGTCAACACCATCAACAGAAGGTGTCCTTGTTGGATGGTACATCCCATCCCTCATCTTCCAAGAGGTCCACAACTTCTTTGAATGTTTCTGGTTCCATCTTTACCTCCTTTGAAATTCTCTGTTGTTTCTTCTAGTTGGGGTTGTCGGGTCTTGGGTGCAGGGAAAGTGTCTTGGGTTTGACCGGCACCTGGGGCGTAGGGCCTGAAGGAAAGAGGAAAGTCAGAATTTGGGGTCTACAGATCCTTCACTTTAATCTACCGAAGATGCTTCCATCTGCATAACTAGGCCAAACAAATGTGAAAGAAGACATCTAGGAGGTCAACACCACCACAAGAAGGTGTCATCTCTGGACACTGCTTCCCATCTACTCATCTTCCAAGAGGACCACGAAATCTTTCATTGAAGGTTCCTGATTCCAACTTTACCTCCTTTGAAGTTCTCCGTTGTCTGTTCTGGTTCACGGTGTGGAGTTTTTGGTGCAGGGAAAGTGGTCTTGGGTTTGACTGGCACCTGGGGGGTAGGTTCTGAAGAGAGGACACAAGTCAGAAAGTGGGACTAGACAGTGACGTATCACAGATATCAACCTTCAACTTCGTGTGAAGACTTTGGTCTGCTTATTTAGACCAAACAAATATCATCAAAGAGACCTAAGAAGAGTTCATATGACCTCCATAAGTCCTCCCCATATTTCGTCTTTCAGAGAACGCCAATGTGACAGAAGACACCTAGGACGTCAACACCACTAGAAGAAGGTGTCATCAAGTTGTCTTCCGAGAGGACCATAAATTCTTTGAATGTTTCTGATTCCATCTTTACCTCCTTTGAAGTTCTCCGTTGTCTCTTCTAGTTGGGGTTGTCTGGTTTTGGGTGCAGGGAAAGTGGTCTTGGGTCTGACGGGGACCTGGGGGGTAGGGCCTGAAGAGAGGACACAAGTCAGAAAGTGGGAGCTTCAGGGTGACCTGTTTCACAGATAAATCACTTCAACCTTCTGCAGATACTTCCATCAGCACAATTGGGCCAAACAAATGTGAAAGAAGACATTTAGGAGGTCAACATCACCAGAAGAAGGTGTCATCTCTGGACTGCTTCCCATCTACTCATCTTCCAAGAGGTCCACAACTTCTTTGAATGTTTCTGATTCCATCTTTACCTCCTTTGAAGTTCTCCGTTGTTTCTTCTAGTTGGGGTTGTCGGGTCTTGGGTGCAGGGAAAGTGGTCTTGGGTCTGACCGGCACCTGGGGGGTAGGTTCTGAAGAGAGGACACAAGTCAGAAAGTGGGAGCTTCAGGGTGACCTGTTTCACAGATAAATCACTTCAACCTTCTGCAGATACTTCCATCAGCACAATTGGGCCAAACAAATGTGAAAGAAGACATTTAGGAGGTCAACATCACCAGAAGAAGGTGTCATCTCTGGACACTGCTTCCCATCTACTCATCTTCCAAGAGGTCCACAACTTCTTTGAATGTTTCTGATTCCATCTTTACCTCCTTTGAAGTTCTCCGTTGTTTCTTCTAGTTGGGGTTGTCGGGTCTTGGGTGCAGGGAAAGTGGTCTTGGGTCTGACCGGCACCTGGGGGTAGGTTCTGAAGAGAGGACACAAATCAGAAAGTGGGACTAGACAGTGACGTATCACAGATATCAACCTTCAACTTCCTGTGAAGGCTTCGGACCTGAGAAGAGTTCATATGACCTCCATAAGTCCTCCCCATATTTCGGCTTTCAGAGAACACCAACGTGACAGAAGACACCTAGGACGTCAACACCACTAGAAGAAGGTGTCATCAAGTTGTCTTCCGAGAGGACCATAAATTCTTTGAACGTTTCTGATTCTATCTTTACCTCCTTTGAAGTTCTCTGTTGTCTGTTCTGGTTCGCGGTGTGGAGTTTTTGGGTGCAGGGAAAGTGGTCTTGGGTCTGACCGGCACCTGGGGGGTAGGTCCTGATGAAAAGGGGCAAATCAGAAAGTGTGGGTTTTGTGAGGAAGCTATGACACCAGGGATGTCAACACCATCAACAGAAGGTGTCATTGTTGGACGTGTTTCCCATCTACTCATCTTCCAAGAGGACCACAAAATCTTTCATTGAATATTTCTGATTCCATCTTTACCTCCTTTGAAGTTCTCTGTTGTTTCTTCTACTTGGGGTTGTCGGGTCTTGGGGGCAGGGAAAGTGGTCTTAGGTCTGACTGGTACCTGGGGGGTAGGGCCTGAAAAGAGGACACAAGTCAGAAAGTGGGAGCTTCAGGGTGACCTGTTTCACAGATAACTCACTTTAACCTTCTGCAGATACTTCCATCAGCACAATTGGGCCAAACAAATGTGAAAGAAGACATTTAGGAGGTCAACACCACCACAAGAAGGTGTCATCTCTGGACGCTGCTTCCCATCTACTCATCTTCCAAGAGGACCATGAAATCTTTCATTGAATGTTTCTGATTCCATTCATACCTCCTTTGAAGTTCTCTGTTGTTTCTTCTACTTGGAGGTGTCGGGTCTTGGGGGCAGGGAAAGTGGTCTTGGGTTTGACCGGCACCTGGGGGGTAGGTCCTGATGGAAAAGAGGCAAATCAAAAAGTGTGGGTTTTGTGAGGAACCTATGACACCAGGGATGTCAACGGCATCAACAGAAGGCGTCACTGTTGGATGGTGCTTCCCATCGCTCATCTTCCAAGAGGTTCACAACTTCTTTGAACGTTTCTGATTCCATCTTTACCTCCTTTGAAGTTCTCTGTTGTCTCTTCTACTTGGGGTTGTCGGGTCTTGGGTGCAGGGAAAGTTGGCTTGGGTCTGACCGGCACCTGGGGGGTAGGGCCTGAAGAGAGGACACAAGTCAGAAAGTGGGAGCTTCAGGTGGCTACAGATACTCCACATTGAAGAGGTCCACAACGTTTTTGATTTTGTCTTTACCTCCTTTGAAGTTCTCCGTTGTCTCTTCTGGTTCGCGGTGTGGGGTCTTGGGTTGAGGGAAAGTTGGCTTGGGTCTGACTGGCACCTGGGGTGTTGGGCCTGAAGTGAGGACACAAGTCAGAAAATAGGAGTTTCAGGGTGGACCTGTTTCACAGGTGCCTCACTTCAACCTTCTGTAGATACTTCCATCAGCACAGTTAGGTCAAACAAATATAACAGAAGACACCTAGGGTTAGGGTTGGGGTCGGGGTTGGGGCTGGGATTGGGATTGGGGTTTGGGTTGGGATTAGGGTCAAGGTTATCTTTGATTGAATATTTCTGATTCCATCATTACCTCCATTGAAGCTTTCCGTCGTTTCTTCTGGTTCAGGGTGGGGAGTCTTCAATTTGGGAAGAGTTGTCTTGGGTCTGACTGGTACCTGGGGGGTAGGTCCTGAAGAAAAGAGGCAAGTCAATTGGGGAGCTAAAAGTAGACCTCTCATAGATATTCTTCAACTGGCTTGGAACACTTTCATTTCCATAGCTAGACCCAACTGATATGACAGAAGACACCAAGGATGATTCTGGTGTCCAACAGAAGGTTGTATCTTACACCCAGCATTTTCCATCAAGTCAACTCCCAAAATTTAATGGTTTCCATCTTTACCTCCTTTGAAGCTCTCGGTTGTCCCTTCCGGTTCAGGGTGTGGAGTCTTTGGGGCAGGGAAAGTTGTCTTGGGTCTTATTGGTACCTGGTGGGTAGGTCCTGAAGAGAAGAGGTAAGTCACAAACCTATCACAGATACCTGGCCTCAACGAGTCTGAGGACACTTCCATAGGTCCACCTCATATTTTGCTTATTTAGACAATGCCAAGGAAGACCTCTCACACATCAAGGGCAGGACCTTCTCTAGCCACTGCTACCCATCAAATCATCTTCTAGAAGGACCACAAAATCTTTGTTTGGAGATATCCGATTCTATTTTTACCAGTCAATCAGAATAGAGCTGGAAGGGGCCTTGGAGGTCTTCTAGTCCAACCCCCTACTCAAGCAGGAGATCCTAGACCTCTGGGCCAACCCAAAGCCTTGAGAGAGAAAGAGGAAAATTACTAACCATTTGTAGGACTTTTCGTGTCTTCAGCACCTGGGGAAAAACAGACACCGTCACAGGGCTGTTGAGACTAAATTGTGTTGCAAACATGCAGTAGCTCCAGGCCTTAAGGAGGTGTTGTTAAAAAAAGCAGCACCCATGTGCCGTAACGGCGGGCACTTTGTGGGGTGTCAAGACCGGGGCCCCGAAAGCAGGGGGACCACCCTGCTCCCCCTCCCCAATTCCAGAGACGGGAGCCCACGAAGGGATCCCATGGGAGTCCAAATCGCCACGTTTCAAACGGAAGAATGGAGCTCTTTTTGCAAACGGTATCCCTGTACATAAATCTAGGCATAGCAGTTGACTCAGTCCAATCAATCGAATAAAACTACGCGAATCCGGAACGGGTTTGCGTTCGTTTCCCTTCAATTAAAATGTCGAAGAATAAATTTGCTTCTTCTTATTGGGGAGCGCAAGCTGAGACAACCGAGTGTGGCCCTCAATTTTGCCACCCCTGCCTTCATTGTTTTGTGAATTGCCACGCTGGGCAAGATTGTCTTCCGAATCCCATCTGGCCCAGACGGCCCATGATGAGCCCCTACCTGAGGGTGGGGGAGGAGGAGGAGGAGGAGGAGGAAGAGGAAGAGGAGGAGAGGAGGACTGTGGGGCCCTTGGTGCTCTCTGAGCCTGTTGGTTTTCTTGGAGACATTTCATGACCCAACTATGTAACATTATCAGTGCTACAAGGGAGAGGGGTTTGGAGGAGAAGGAGAAGGGGAGAAGGAGGAAGAAGAGGAGGAGGAAGAGGAAGTGGGGGAGGAAGAGGACTGTAGGATGTTCTCTGAGCTTGGAGCTAATTCATGACCGAAGTCGGTAACATTATCAGTACTAGAAGGGTGTGGATTTGCAAAGAGGAGGAAGAGGAGGAGGAGGAGGAGGAGGAAGAGGAGGAGGAGGAGGAGGAGGAGGAGGAGGACTATGGGATCCTTAGTGCTCTCTCTTAGCTTGGTAGTTTCCTCACAGACGTTTTATGACCCAACTACATAATGCCATCAGTGCTTCGTTGTCGTTGCATATGATTGGAAATCTAAACAAAAAATATATGCAATCATCTGGGGACAGAGATTAAAACTACAAACAAGAGGAGGTTGTGAGTACTTACAACTGAAGGAGAGAGTGAGGAGAATGCCTAGAAGCTGAAAAGAGAAGAGAGAAGCGTTAAAAAAAAAAAATTACTTCGCAAGGCAGACCGAATCTTGCAAATCCAGCGCTGACTTGATTAAAGGACTGCCTACAGGGTGTTGGATTAAAATACAAAAAAATTAACAATAATCCATGTGCATTTGTAAAAGACTGTGCTGGAGCGCGCCAACTCAACCAGAGGCCCTTTTTAAACCATGCACTCGTTTGTTGAGTGTCCTACGACCGATCCTCGCACTTACGA